CCCCCCCGGGCCGACAGCGCCAGCGGCGTCTGTGGCAGCTCCCTGCTGCCACTGGGGTGCGGCCAGGGGCACACGTCGTTCATGTTTTCTTATTCCCTGTTTTGAATCTTTTGGCTTTTTCCATTCCTTTTTTTTACCTTTTCTCTTCTCTTTGTGTCTTTTTTTTGAGGCTTTAAAAAAAAATAACGCTTTGAGATTGTTTTTGCTTTTATATCTTTCACATTTTTGCATGGGTTCCCCGTTCCTTTGCAATTCTGCTATGCGTCAGTAGGGACGTGCAGCGGCGCGCCTAGTGGCTGCTCACAGCGCATGCGCCGAGGACTCACAGCAGAGACCGAAGGGTTTGTCAAGACTGGGGCAGGACACGGGGCGGGGGCGTGGCCTCCGTTCCCTTCCCTGGTGTCGCAATCCAACCGGGGCAACGAATCTCTGCTCGTCTTTGCTCCTCGCAAGCTTGCGAGCCTAGAACGTCGGGAGGCCGGGGCAGTTTACCGGTGTGCCCATGCGCACAAGAAACCTGCTTAACCCTGCCTACTCGCTCTCACGTAACCTGGCTTATTCGCGCATGCGTACACGCCCTTTGGCGTGGGAGGGTCACGTGGCCTTCCCCAGCCCCTCCTCTCCGCCGTGAGCGTCACGCGAAGCGGGTGGGGCTCTGGAAGGCGAGCCTCAACCCGCGTCTTTCCCGCCGGAACTGCCGGTGCCGCCGCCATGGAGGAGCAGACCGGCTGCGGGGTGGACACCACGAGGCGCCGGCACCCGCCCCTGCGCCCTCCCCACCCAGCCAGCTCGCTGCCCCGGTCCCGGTCCCCGGCAGCACCCCCAGGGTACTGCTCCCTAGCGCGTGCGGGGGGGGGAAATTGCGTCATTACCACGTGACCAAACGGTCTGCAGCCCGTTGTCGGGGCTGTCACGTCACCTTCCAACTGGCCCCGTAGAATGTTGGCGGGGGCCCCGTAAATATGCGCATGCGCGCGGGGCGGACTTGCCCCGGCGCTGGGGTGGGGGGCGTGGGCAGAGCGGAGGGCCGGAAGGAACCTCTGAGCGGGGCAGCCCACGGCTCAGGGGTCGAGCTTTCCCTGGACTTGGGGCAGGGCAGGAGCAGTGCTCCCAAGCGCCCTGACCTGCCACGGGAAGCAGGGGTGGGAGAGTGTTGTGGGTGCCTGGTTGCACATGATGAGGAGAGACCGAGGGAACAGGGCTTATTTAGTCTGTGGAAGAGAAGAATAAGGGGGGGGGGGGTTCATTGCAGCCTTCAACTACCTGAAGGGTGATTCCAAAGTGGATGCAGCTGGACTGTTCTCAGTGGGAGCAGATGGCAGAAAAAGGAGCAATAGTCTCAAGATGCAGCAAGGGAAATTTAGGTTGGATATTAGGAGACACGGTCACAAGGGGGGTGGTGAAGCACTGGAACAGGTTACCCAGAGAGGTTGTGGACTCTCCATCCTTGGAGGTTTTTAAGTCCCAGCCTTGGCTGAGATGATGTAGTTGGGGGTTGTCCTGCTTTGACCCAAAAGTGGGTCACAAGAATATATGAAAGGATCACAGACAAAGACTGGATCAAGGCTCTTTGGGTGGATGTGATCTACTTTATTAGTTGCTCTAATAAAAGAGGTTGCATCTACCCAAAGAACATTGCCTGCCTATGTCCTTAGACCAACATGGCTACAAGCAACAGCCCTGCAAGAATAGATCAACAAACTTTAAAAATGGATTCTCCTTTAAAGGAGAAAAATGTGGGAAGCCATGGCTTTTCTCTTGCAGGTTGGCAGAATTCCAGCTTGAGGGGCTGCTTGGGGATGTTTGGGACCTCCCCTACCCCACACACTGGGTCAAGATTGGCCATCAATGTTTACAAATGGTCCTGGTACAAAAAAAAGTTGAGAACCACTGCACTAGATGACCTCCTGAGGACCCTTCCAACCCTCCTTTTCCATGATTCTGTGTCACTTGTTAAATGTGAGACAGATCCGAGAAAGATGGCTAGTATACAGAGAGAGGCAAACTTCACATCACGCATGTTGATCTGACAGGTACAATGCCTTCCCTATCCCAGATACAGCAGTTGTTGTGATCCTGAGAAGAGCAAGAGCATCTAGCTAAGAAACTAGGATTTATTTTTAAATCCCAGCAGGAGCATTGGCACAGCCTTGTCTGCAGCCAGCAACCACTGCTTCTGAGGAAGGCAGAAAACTCCCCTGAAACCTGTAGCAGTAGGAGGTGAAAAAAGTTTTTTCCAGCCTAGGTAGCAACCAACAAAGCCCAGAAGTATGGGAGAAAATTGAGCACTCGCTTCTTTATGCTGCGCCCTGGGGACTGTACTGTAAATACAACTCCACACATCGCACTCCGTAATTGGAGAGCTAGAACTCCCCACTTCTGTTATCCTGTTCCTCTCCATAAACTTATTGCAGCTACTTTAATCTTTCATGGCCAAGCCGGTTGTAGAAGTCTGTTTCATTCTTTCGCTAACGAGCATGGGCATCTCTAGTTTTGAATCTGTAGATGAAAATTGCCCCATGACCTCAGTTACTTACGATGGGATCAAAGTGAACTTCTCGAAGGTTATTCTTTTGCCCAGTAGGGAAAAACTTCATAGATGGTCTTGTGACTTTAAAAATACAGGCAAGTTTTAAAGCTTTGCCATTGAACCCTGTATTGTCCTGCATGGCATTGCTGTTAAAGTGTTAAGTTGTAGGGAGTCTGGCTCCATATGCCCCAGCACCTTTAGAGTCCAACTGTGCAGCCCAGTGAGGTTTTAAGCATTCCATTGCTGGGGGAGGCTGTCGACACTCTTTATCCCAGCACCTTTAAAACCCCACCATGCAGCCTGATACTGGGTTGCATAGTAAAGGTTTAAGCTTACCAGGCTCTCTATATGCCAGGACCTTAAAACATATGTGGTGCAACTGGGAGGACCAGTTCCTGATTCTGGGCTTCCCAGTCTGAGGAATTTTATTCCAAATCTCCAGAATCTCATATTCTGTCATGCATGCCCAGTTTTAATTTCCTTTCTTTTCTACCTTCTCTGTGTTGTGAAGATGGTATTTCAAAATGGTGGTTGCACTGTTTATTTTTTTTAGATATGGGAACTGACTAGTGCCTACTACTTATGAGTAAAATTGTGTGACATTGCACTGTTTTTGGTGGGGGGTTAATTATTTAGCATCTGTTTTGGCTTCCTTAAATTAATTGCAGAATTTTTCTTCTAGGGCCAGCATCACTGTAGACTGGATGGACAAGACAATAATGAAAAAATTTCCACCTGCCATTCTAATGATTTCAGTGACCCAATTTACAAAGAAATTGCTATGACTAATGGTTGCATTAATAGGATGAGTAGAGATGAGCTGAGAGCCAAACTTGCAGAGTTCAAGCTTGAAACGAGGTAACATTTAATTATGAGCATGTTGATCATCTTTCAGAAAGTCTGTTGTAATGCTTTCTTTTGCTGCGTGTGAAAAGATGAGACCAACATTTGACTTCTTATAACATTTCTTGAATAACCTGTCTTCTGAGTCTTTGCAGTTCAAATCAGTGATGTTAATGCACAAAGATGGTAGAAAGACTACATATGTTATATGCTTCTTGGCAAATGTCTCTTGGCATCCTTTCAATGAGGAAATGTTAGTAAGTATATTAGGGGCTCAAATATGGTCATTCAAAATGCCCAGATTTTAGAAACCAAATGTGCTTGTTAGTGATTATTTGTATTGCTGTGCATGTAGGAACTCCAGTATGATCATGTCCCCCAGAATTGACCAAACAGAGAAAGAAACAGTCCTGACAATGATGAGTTTACTGCCTAAGTGTACAAGATAGATAAAGCGTGCAGGGAAGGAGTATAACATAACAAGTTTGATAGTTTGACAGAATGATGTTACTTCTGTGATTTTTGTGAGGTTTTATTGAAAGATAATCGTTTAAATGGAGACACAGAGGGGAAGTGCCTGAGTGTCTGGATAGCTCCTCAGCAAGTTTTGTTCCCTGACCTCCTATTGCTAGGGTTGTATAAACCCTGGCATGAGAGAACTTTCATATATAGTTTTGGGTTTTCCTTCTCGAATTCTGTACCTACTAGTATCTGCTTTTGCCAGCTCTGTTACCTGGATAGCGTCCTTTTAAAATATACTTCATATAGGGAGCCAATAGTTTCTCAAAAAGTAAAATAACAAAAACTATGTTTTATTTGCTAGAAAAACATAATGCTTGACAATGGTCAATGAATTGTATCCTGCAAAGGTGTTTTTTGTTTTTTTTTTAACAGGCTCTTTTTACCCTTTACTGTAAAGGAGACCTGAAAGCATGTTTTTAAATGGTTATTTTTCCTTGCTTACTATTTTTAGAACTACAAAGGAGTGTTGTAGTTAGATTTCCCTGGTTTGTTTGAAGGATTTAGGACAGTTCCACTGATGTGGGTTATAAGGGCATATTATGTCTTTAATCAATTTTCAGTACCAAAAGTAGTAATTAATTGCTGAAGTTAAAAGTGTGTTAATGTGGGAGTTTCAAACTCATCAATCCTCTTCCCTTTTAAACTATTTGCTTCTCTCAACTTCAGTGATTTTTACCATTTTAAGTTACCCACTTAATTAAAATCTTAAATGTTTTTGTACGCATTATACAAAGCCAAAACAGGTGCTTGCTCAGTTTTTCCCCCTCCTGTATGTATGTCTTTTAAATTTTAAAATCATTCTTGTTTTTATTAAGGAAATCCAGTCACCTATTGGCGATTTCACAAGGCATGTTTGTTTCCCCCAATAGCATTTTTATAGCTGTGATGGTCTGTTTAGCATTTCTAGCAATTAATGTTGCCATCACATGCCCTAGTGCCAAATTCCCAGGCTGTTGAGTTTGAGGCCTCTGTTCTTCAACTTGGCTGAGAAGAGGTAGAGTGGACTGGAGCTGGAGTGTCAGAATCCTGGCATGGGGTGGGGAGCACTGGTAGGCCTTACAACCTCCCACCTCCCTCCTTTTACCTGCCATCTCTGTGAGGGGAGAGAGAGGGGAAAGGTGGTGTGGTGCCCCAAGCTGCTGTAGTCTCTGTGCGGGCCGGGAGCGACCCGAGCCCTTTTCCGTGCTGCACGCGGGCTGTGGCCAGCAGCCCGGGCACGCCGGGTCGGAGAGGGGAGGCCGTCGAGCTGGAATTAGTCACAAACGCGTATGGGTAGCTTTAAATATTGTTTACTTGCACCGAGATGGCAGTGGTGTAGGCTGGAAAACTTGCTTGAGTTGCGGTTACCGACAGACAACACAGACGGTCTCGTGGAGGTTGCTAGGCTCCACGGTACAGAGCTCCGGATGCTCTGGGTGAACGAGCCACCAAAATGAGAATCGTAGATACATCTTATAAAAGTCGCGCTCGAAGACGGGAAGAGGGGGGCGGTGGATCAGGCCGCCAAGCTCCTCTGGATCTCACACAGGGGTTCTATTACCCTGCCGTGTACCCAGAGTCCCCACGAGATGGATGTGGAGTCCTCTTCGGATTGGGCGGAAACCGCTCAAGCCTCTTATACGGCTAACAGGCCAAGCGTTAGCCGCCACGTGTGAATAATTTAAAACTAGCCAATCATGGGAAACGAATTTGCACACCGGTGGCGGGAACTCTTTTGCACCGTGCATTCCTCTTGCAACTCGAGCAACGCACTCTGCAAAAGAAGCTGCAGAAAAGGCGGGAAACTCGTCCCTGCACCGGGAGTTTCCTCTGCAACAGGAAACTCTCCCATGCAATGAAGCTGCAACTTGGCGGGGATAATTCTGGTGCCGAAGCACGCACAAAATCATGCCTTTGGGTCATGACAGTCTCCTCTAGAGCCTTCTGCCTGTCCCTAAAAGAGGCTACAACATTTTGAAACATTCCAGCTAGGAAAGTGCTGTGTGTGTTTCACCTGGAAACATTTCATTTATTAAGTCTGTCTGCACTTCTTGGTACCCAAGCTTACCTAAGTATATAATAGGTAGGATCTGGCATAAAGCTCTGACAGATATGACAGATGATGAACTATATAGCTGGGAAGCCTGCATGATCTCATTTTACTGTAAAATGAATCTTCCTTGAAGTGCAAGGTTATACAGATCTTAGCAGTATCTTAGCAGTTTTTTATAGCAGCTCATAGTTGGCCAAAATATGGCACTGAAGCCACACTTGCATAGTGATCTTATGTATGGTTGTGTACAAATGATTAGAATTACATTTCTGATAACTTTTCTGCTAAGAAAATATAGCTTGTTTCACTAAAATAACTTTTAATACAGTGATGTTAATATCCTGTTTTGAAAACATGAAGAAATGGGATGCCCCACTTGCTTAAATTGTAAACTGATTTCCTGGATACGTTATAATAAAGGATGATCTTTTCCTTTCTTGTGCCCTGATTTCCCTGTTCATTGTTTATTAAAAGTATGATGGAGAGAAGAACAGGAATGTGGTGGGAGAAACCTCCCTAAGGTTCGTTGTCTAGCTGTAATTTGATTGACAGACAACGCGGGTAAAGAAAGACAGCTGTTTATTTGCTCGAGCAAAGACCATAAAGCCAGCAAAAGGCAAAATGGCCCCCCCCTAAGGGTGAGGTGATCTTTTATACTTATTACAACAAGGCAAGACTTCATGGTTAACAAAAAAAAAGCAATACTTGGGCGGTGCTTTTCAAATCTTTGTAACAGCATATTTCTATTAAGCTGAATTAGCACTTTTTAAAGCTAAAAGTTAAGTAACAGTAACATTATAATATGTTAGCAAAACCTTACACAGTAGTAGATACTTCTCAAGGACACAACCAGTGCACCCAGAACAATGGTTTCCCTGTCTTATCTTACTTCTTGCTGTAGCTGATTTTTCAGCACACAGACACAGAGATACTTGCTGCTTTTAACTCAGAAAATGCTTAATACAGTTAAAATGATTACTTGACACAAGCAAAGGCTTAGCTATCAATCTGCCTTGTGGTCAGCTGCATTGCTAGGCCACAGGTCATGCCTTGTATTCAGCTGTAAAGCTAATACTTCCTAATAATCTAAATTATTGTAAACCTAACAGTATGCTTATCAGAAAACTATTCTATTTCAGGGTAATAACAAACCTGCGCACTACAGGAAGGAGAAAAAAAGTAAATGAGACAAGCTATATAAGGGAAATGCAGCAAAATCCATCCGATTTTTCTTACCAAAAAAAAAAAAAAGTTGCCTGTGATTTAAAAGTAAGTTTACAGGTTTTTTTTAGGAAGCAACACTTTTTTTGTGTGGAGAAGATTTAAAACATTTTCTCCCATTGCTTCCCCCTCCATTCTTCTCTATCCTGTGTTGTGAATAAGAATGTAGACAAAATGGTCATTCTGACTTTTAATAAAATCTGGGATGTGTGGCTTTTTAACCAACTTTGATTTAAATGGTTGTAAAATACCTTTTTAATGCAGTTTCTTTCCTCCTAAAGTAAATCTTTCCTTGTATATATAGATTGCTCATTTGCCCCTGGCTTGGAATATAGCAGTTTTTAACTAGGGACTCTTTCACAATAGTTCTTCTGATTATTTTATTAAAAAAGAAGGAACAGTTTACTCAAGATCTAGCCTCTTGTCATAATAATGCCAGCTTCTGGTTTGTTATCACACTTATAAGCCTTTTTTAATTACTAAAGAGGAAAGCATTCTTCTCTGTTCTTATGAGGCTATTATGAAGATAAAGGGAAATTTCATTGTGAAAAGCATGTTACCTTGTTTAGATCATTCAGGTATTGGATTTGGCTTCATTTTTGGATGCAAGTAACTGTTAACATGAATGGAAATCTAGATTGGAATACTAACTTGATTTTTTTTCTTCTCATTTCTCTACAGAGGAGTGAAAGATGTACTGAAAAAGAGGCTTAAAAACTACTACAAGAAGCAGAAGCTGATGCAGAAGGAGCCCACTGATGAAGAGAGTTACTATGATTATATCTGCGTTGTTGACTTTGAAGCAACCTGTGAGGAGGGCAACCCCCCTGAATTTATACATGAAATAATTGAATTTCCTATTGTGCTAGTAAACACTCATACACTAGAAATAGTAAGTGATCTAATTACACTAACTCTTGTGCTGTGCTCTTCTAGTTTCTTTCCTTCAGAAAATTATGTGAAATGTTAGTTATAAAGAGACGCATTTTAAATGGAGTATAACCATTTTTTTCCTAAAAATTCAAAAGCAAACATGCCATTTTACCTCGCACACCTTTCCTCTGAAAATTGGCCCTCTAAAATTTGGGGTAGGTGTCTTAAGCAAGAAAACTTAAAATTATCCATGTTGCCAGTCTCCTTTGAGATCCCTTCCCATTCAGATAGACAAAATAGAATGATACTCGGCATACACACATTATCCTGAATTTTTGAAGTGATGTTTACTTGGTTACTTTGCTGAGCTAATGAGCATATATCTCCATCTTATAGGTGAAGAATTAAAACTGGCTGAGAGACTTGTTGAAAGCCTCACTGCAAGTCAGGTGTGGAACTAGGACCCATGAATTCTTGACCCTTAGCTTTCACTTCACTATACTGTGCTGCCTCCTTAGAGCTGCTGCTACTGCAGAGTTATTTCTAGTAGGGTTGGAGTGGTGTTGTAGTAATGGTGATCCAGGAAGTGTAAGAGGCAAAGGGTTTTTTGACATCTTTTATTGGTGTAACTGTATAGTTGGGAGAGAGATTTGGTAAGCCTTTGGTCATAAAATCCTCTTCTTCAGGTCTGAAAGAAAAGGGCACAGCCTAAGCTAAATAAACACCCCCAAAAGAAAAGAAACTATAGTTTTTGTTTATCAGTAGGTGTTGTAGGCAACCGTTGATCTTGTGAATCATGGTGTACACATAAGAGGTCTAGTCAGATGCGTGATGAATCCATTTGTGGCTGACAAGCCCACTTGAGAGCAACACAGCTTATTACAAGTTTTGCAGATCCGTCTGTTGTTTGAGTTGGAATCCAAATTTACAGCATGCTGCTTCTTTCTTGCTTTGCTTCCATCTGGCCATGGGGCGGGCAAGGGGCCACTTTTCCCCATGCTCAGCACCAGCTTGTAACCCCCCCCACTGCCAGCCTGGCAGTGGGGCCAGGTTACAAGGTGGTGCTGAACTCAGTGGGGTGGGGAAAGGAGCCCCTACCCACCCCATGGTCGGCGCCCTGTGCTGCAGCCGCTTACAGCCTGCCTGGGGCTGCCTGTGCTTGCTCCGGACAGCCCCGCGTGGGCTGCGAGGAGCTGCAGCCTGTGGCGCTAGCCATGGGGCAGGTGAGGAGCCGCTTTTCTCTGCACAGGGAAGGAGCCCAGGGAAAAGCTGAGCATGGGGGGGAGAGGAAGTGGCCCCTCCCCCGCCCCACTCCCGGTGCCCCACACTGCAGGCGCTTGCAGCCCGCATGGGGCTCTCTCTGGAGCGAACACAGGCAGCCCCACACGGGCTGCGAGCAGCTGCAGCGCAGGGCACCAGGTGTGGGGTGGGGAGGGGCCGCTTCCCCCCCCTTCCACGCTCCTTCCCTGCCCAAGGTTCCCCTCGCCACCCCCCCCCAGTTACCTAAGCTTCCTGTGCCGGGGCAGCCATGTGCTCCCAGCCCAGAAACCCCAGCTGGGGCTCCCAGCTGGCAGGCCGGGCCAGGCAGTTGTGGGAGCCCGCTGGACTTCCCCTGGGTCCTACTGCCCTTGGTTCCTGTCTTTTTTGACAGGAACCAAGGGCAGAGAAATATTAATTTTCTACATTTTTTTTAGGGGCCCTGCGGGCTAGATTTGGCCCATGGCTCTATTTTGCCCACCCCTGCACTAAACAAAATATTTTTGAGGAAATAGTTTTCTTTCGAAATGGCCAATCCATAGCAACCTCCTTTTCTTGATAGTGGTTTTCTAAGCGTGCACTCCAGTACCTCTGTGTTTGGTATTCTTTGTCAGTACGTGAATGCAGTCATTTAAAGAATGGAACATGGCAGTGAACTAGGAGCAAAGAGAGGTGTTCAGCAATAGATTCAAAACAAGGAAAATGTAGTTGAATGGTAACCCAGGCCAAGAACAAGATGATTCAAAAGGGAAAAGAGTTATTACCTGTAGTAACAACTTCAAAATGTGGGATTGAGAACAAAAATCCATAACCTTACTGGATACTAACACCCGTGTCCAGCACCTTTCATTTGTTAACCAAGATACACAAACCTGGCAGCCCAGGGACCTACCCCCACGTTGTCTCTGGCTTTGGTGCCATCAGGGATGGAGTTTCGGGCTATGGCAATTTTCTCCTATTTCTTTATGCTGCTGTAGCTGCCACTATTTTCCTTAGGAAACTAGAGTCCATTGACAAACTTCTAGCAAACACCTTATTAGTTACCATGGATGTCATATTTCTATATGCCAGTATCCTGCATGTGGATGGGTAACAAGCCATAAGGAATGTTATCTTCAATGATGGCACTTATTTCTGCTTTCACCACTCTCCTGCTTTGTCTTCACACACAACTATTTTAGATTTGGGGACTCCCTATACTTACAAATGAATGGCACTGCCATGAACACACGCATGGCCCCACAATACACCTATATGTTTATCACAAATCTCCAAGTTCATTTCCTCTGCATCTGCTGTCTCATTCCCCTAGTATGCCTGGGGAATATCATCATATAGACAAATCTAGAGATATTCTACCAGGGCTTTAATGATTTCCACCTCTCTATCAAACTGACACTTGAATTCTCTGCCTAGCAATTATTTCTTGGACTCCATTGTGAAACTTTGCAATGTCCACATTATTGTATTGGAACAGGAAACAACCAACAGCTGCAGCTCCTTTGTGCCACCAGCAGTCTTTCTAAGTGCACTACTAGATTCGTCATTTGCAGCAAAACACCATGCTACAACTGGTATCTGCTCTCAACCCACTTACTGGACTACATACCAAGTATCTGCAACAGGCTTTCCTATACTTAAAATTCAATCCCCAAACCTTAGTCACTCAAATCAGTGTAAGCAGACTCAGGCCCTGCCCTGACTTGCTACAGTTTCAACCCTGTGGAAAGGATAATGAAATCCCTTTGGTCCTCACGCTCCCTAGCTCAAACACATCAATAATGACCTCTCCACTTGTTTACAGTGACCCATTGCTATCTACATGAGACAGCTGGTGAAATTCTTACATAAAAGAATTACATAAGAGCCTATGGCAGAATACCACTTCCTTCGTAGACATTCCACCCTGACCTCAAAATAGCTATTTTCAAACAAAGAAACAAATGGATAAAAAACCTATTTAAAAACCATCTTAACTGTGAAATTACAGAGTAAGAAATCATCTATGGCCTTGATTGCATTAACCGTGGTTTCAACCATAGATTCTTCATCCTATTACTTGGACTAGCTGTTAACTATGATGTTATTCCAGGTGCTAACTACCCTGTTCATGGAATTTGAGCTAATCAGCCTGCTTATTACTTCTCTTGTCAGCATCCGCTTTCCCTGTCCCTTTCTTTTCTATGTAAAATCTTTTGTTTTCTGCCAGTCCTTTTGGAACATCTGATGAAGTAGGTTGTTGTGTACAAAAGCTCATGCTTCTCTGAACCAGTTAGTTTCTAAGATACCACTGTGCCATACCTTCTGCCTGATTTCAGACTTAACATGCCTTACCACCTCTGTCTACGCTGGAGGGTATTGTGATAAAGATGTAGTGGTTTAACTACTGACAAAACTATCCCACTATAGCTAAAGGTAAATTTATCTGTCCTTTTATGACTACAGGAGTCTGTAGTTACCAAGGAAGAAAGAACTCTGGGCCTTCTGTTTGAATAATTATTAAAGAAATGATGGTACATTTAGTAGTCTGATTCAATGAAACATGTATTTACACTTCCTCCGTTTAGTGCTAGTGGTACCAGAAAGCCTTAGGAGCAGGTTATCCAATAGTCAGTTTATCTCATTAGAGGCCAGGGCTTGCCACTTCATGTAACTGCAGAAGAAGGATAGTGTTGACTGTGTTTTTATGTTGATGAAGGAAAGTAGGCTACTTTTTCCATTTGTCAGGGATGGCACTTGTGAAAGCAGCTGTCATTGGTGTGTGTGCATGCAAGCATGCATCATTTGTGTCTTATTTTTAATAAATTATATATATTATTCTTGCCAAAATGTAGGCAGTCCTTTTACTTAATAAAATAGCCTGGGCTGAGATGGTGGTGATTGTCCAAAGAGCTAGCTAGCATTCTGAGGGGTACCCTTTCCATGCAGTTCTGGTGTTTCTGTAAAATGTTTAAATCTCTCCTTCCCCTTTTACAGGAGGATACCTTTCAACAATATGTGAAGCCAGAGATTAATCCTCAGCTTTCAGACTTCTGTATTAATCTGACTGGAATCACTCAGGTAACATTTTTCATATCTGTTTCTTCAGAGACCGGTGTGAATGAAAGGGATACTTTGTCAAAGTTCAGCTACAGGTGTTACGCTTTAGGACAAACTACATTATAACTGCATTAAAAGGGGAGGGAGTGCTGCTGCTTTAAAGCGCATTGTTTGTTACAATGTGTGAGGTAAGGCCTTATGCAGGTAAATTGCTACAACTTTAACCTGTTTCATTAAGTGTTGAAGTTACAAGGTTTTGTAACTTTTGCATCTATGTATAAACATGCAGATGCAATAGCTACATCAGACCACTTTTTACCAGTATAATTTGATATAGTTGTATCTGTTTACGTGCTCTGAAGGTTTTTAATTCAGGTTTTGCCACAGTTTAGCTATTTACAACTCATTTAATGTCTTTATGCAAGAACCTACAAGTATGTATGTAACATGTATGAATAGGGACCTACCTAATTCATGAAGGCTGCCTCCATATTTCATGGTCCTGGTGTGACGTCAGGTGTCAGTTTTTGCAGTGGGGTGTGTCGGGTCCCTCCACACCTCTGGCTGAGGGGCCCTGGAAGCCCTGTCCCTCCCTGGAGATTGACAGATGGCCACCTGTCAGTTTCTGGGGCGGAGCAGGAGTTCGGAGTATGATCAGAGGTGTGGGACCCCACCCACCCCTTTCCAGAGATTGACAGATGGCCATCTGTCAATCTCTGGGGAGAGGTGGAACTTCCATGGCCCCTCCACTGATTTTTTTTTTTTTTTTTCCCGCTCCTTCCCCCCCTTCCTTCCTCTGTGCCCCAGGGTGTCAGGGCTTTTTCTGTTTGCAGTTGCCTCCCCCCCCCCCCCCCCCCGCCTGGCGGTCGACTCTCT